GGGGAAGTTGTACGGGGGGACGAAGGAGAAGCTGCAAGATCAAGAAAAGAAAATTCAACTCTGGTTCCCCAGTCCAGCAATATGAAAGAAAAATATCCATGTTTTTCGTCATATTTAAACACGAAATTCTAGATCCCTTTTGCAATACGTCACGGAACCATGCAACTAAGAAACCTGTGAAACTCAATAACTTCTTGAAGCTACATGTATCGACAATAGGTTTAAAAACGGACTACTGATCTAATAACTTAAATAAGTAAACAATCTCGAGGTAAAGGATATGGAAAAAACCATAATCATCATACCTTCACTTAATACTGACAGGAAGGATACCATGCAGATAATCTCAGGTTTAGCACATACTTCATGGAAACACATACGCCTTTCAAAATCTTGTTAACGACATGTCAACTTGTTATGTTGGCTAACATACAGTAACATGGAAACATATTTGCAATTCAAGCCTCCTATAAACATCACAGTGAACTGTCTCTACTCATAAATTACATGGTGCTGCCGAAGGGGATGCAGAGTTACAGACCACCAGTCCACCAGTACCAAACCTACTTTTTTTTTGATAAAATGTTAGGGATCGTGCCGATTTAATGGTTCTTTCTGCTGTAATGGATTTAACTTACAGGATGGAAAATAAAGCAGGGACTACCGTACCACCAGTTATCCACTGTAGTTCGTTCAAGCCTCACCCGTGGCTGCCCAATTAGCTTCAAACTACCGTGAGATAGTGTTAAACTGCAAATCCTACCACCAGTTGTCCGCTTTAGTTCATTCACCAGACAGCTTCACCCGTGGCTGCCCAATTAGCTTCAAACTACCGTCAGATAGTGTTAAACTGCACGTCCTTTGTCAGAAACTTATTATTAGGAGATTATTCACTGGAGAAGAAAGGGATCAGTGAGATGCTGATTTGCTGGGTTGTTAGAAACCAGAATTTCAAGATGTCACAGAGAGGAGACGGTAAAGTAGTGTGATGCTCGAATCGATTGGATCGTTTCCATCTTATCATAGCGACTGTAACATGAGGGTGATGGGAGTAGTGGAGAACGAAGAAGAGCAGCGATAGGTGTTCCTCCACAATGTCGTGATGCAATGTGAAGGGGGTGTTATTCTCTAAAACAGGTTAGGAGTTTGGGAAGAAACTTGCGTGTGCGTGCTGGAGAGAAAGGTAGGCCTGAGCAGTGGCATGAGGGAGGACTGGAGGAGTAAGGTAGATGCAGGTCGACCTACTCCTCGTGGAGTTGTGGTCAGTGAATTCAAGCTCTTCTTGTTGCTTCTTCTTGGATATAGCATGCATGACGGGTGTACAACGGCAAAGAGGCAAATAGGAGTCTCTGGTGCCACCGCTAGGGATCCCTGGAGACATGGGGAAGATGAGTGGATACCTTATAGAAAATTCTGTCCGCCGAGGGAAGATGAGTACATGAAAGACATTCGTCAACCAAGACTCTCAATGATCTATCTTTTTCTTTTGAAACCATTCTTTAGAGAGAACATACTTCCTCACGTTATGACCTTTCTCGGTCATCTTTCGGGTCACAAGTACCCAGCCATTCGCTTTCACGAATGAAAGCATGGAAAACTTTTAGTCTGAGAAAACTTAGACAATAATCAACAATAATGAGCATAAAAATAACCCTACGTTGGTCTAGTTAAAAAAATATGCACATTAAACTTTTGTAAAACTTCCCTTTTATATCTAAATCACCGTTGTGGTAGAATTAGAATAAAACTCATTCTTCTACATTAATTCCATATCACCGTTGGGCGGAAATGAAAATAATGCATATAACTCATAAACAATGTGATGATAGTATTTCTATTAAACAACTTTGCTAAGAAATTTTCATCATCATCAACTTTATTGCAGCGGAAAACTTTTAATATACATTTCTCAATCTTTATGAAATGCTCTGAAAATTGGTCACTTTGATACAAAAATTATCAGAGATTTGAACATTTAACTATAAGACTCATTGAATTATAATATTATCATCATCAACGTTGGTCAGAAAATAACAATACCATAATTAAACTTTAATCAAATATCTTTCTACTGTCATAGCAGAAGCTATCTGAATCTGATTTCACCCACAAGTGAAAAAACTTCTCTCAAAAAACTGTTCATACAATTAAATTTTCCCATTGGTTCCAATTTAATTGGAGGATAATACTTTTTCTTTCTTTGTAAAAGAGTACTATTAATTATTTACACAGCGGAAAAACATGAATAAAAAATTCATGAACTTTTTACTGTTAAAATAAACTTTTCTTTGACTAAGTAAAAATTCATGAACTTTATTATTTTCTTTATAAATTCTTGAGCATGTCGTTTTCTGAAAATTTTCTATTTCATTTTCAGAAATTTGTTCTGTTTACTTTTCAGAACATTTTCTTTTACTTTTCTGTACTGTAAACAAAATTTCGTTGGATGAAATTTGAGTAGAAAAACTATTTAAAATCTGCCCAAAAAAACTAGACAAATAAACAATTAAAAAACGAAAAGGAAAAACTGCAGCATAGCCGGCCTCGGCCCAGCTCGCGCGGCTGCTGGCCTTGGCCCAGCGCGCGCGGCGGCGCCCGCGGCTGGCAGCCTCGGCCCAGTCTGCCAGCTGCTGCTCTTTAGCCCAACAGGCCCGCTGGGCGTTAGGGTTTACATCTCGGCCGTCGATCAGATTGGACAGTCCATCTCGATTTTCGCTAGAACAAAACCAGTGCCGACCGATCCTCCCGAACCCTAGCCCCATTCTCGTTCTATCCGCCTCGTCTCTCGTCGCGGTCTCGTTGACGGCGAGGCAAGGGGATGCGCCCCGGCCGCCGGCGATGGCGGTGAGGGCCACCACGCCGCGCGCGCCTACTCTCCCTTCCCTTTCCCTTCTTGCGCGCTGCTCGCTGTTCCTCTCTGCATGCAGCAGCGCATCTCCCAACGGCCCCGTCGCGCCGGTGGCAAGCCGGCGACGGCGTCGGACGCCGCTGTGCTACACGAGCGTCCTCTTCCCTCTCCTTTCTGTCTACTTACCTTCCTCCATCCTCCGTTTCCAATGGCAGAGAGATGAGGTCGACCCTCCTCTGCCCCCTGAAGACGACAACGGTGGAGGAAAAAAGGGCTTCGCCCTTGTCGCCGGCGACGGTGACGAACGTCACCGCGCCGCGCGAGCCTGCTTTTCATCCTTTTTTTCTTATCCCCCACAGCAATATATATATATATATATATATATATATATATATATATAGAGAGAGAGAGAGAGAGAGAGAGAGAGAGAGAGAGAGATCCGGAGACTTTCCGATGTGGCGCCCCTGCTGACCCCTTTGCCGGCGTGCGCGAGCACCTCGTAGGTGAACGCGCCGCCGTCAAACGGCTCGGTGGTGGTGCCCTTTGCCCCATGGGGTGGTTCTTCTTCCCGGATCCTCGGCATGCCGATGTGATTCGGGATCGAGAGGAACGGCGCGGCCATGACGGCGGCGCTACTTTTCTCTGCTGAGGAATTTTTCTTTGCCCTGTCAGTGGGGTTCTTTGGGGAAGGGAAAAGCTTTTTCTTTGATTTCTTTCTACCCAAAAGCCTAAACCCAATCTGGCTGATACCATTGTTAAATCGTCGGGATCGGTTAGGCTAGATATTCCGGTAGTTCTTACCTTCTGCTTATGGCTCGAGGAGCCACCGGTGCCGGCCATGGTGACGGTGGCCGGTGATGGCAGAGAGTAGTGTGCGAAGTGGTGGCTGCGCTTCCTGTCAGCACTGCACTTACCCTAGATCGGTAGGGGATTCGATGGGGTGTACGGTGTTGCGACGAACCCCGTTCTGCGAGCCGCCGACCCCCACCTCTTTATATAGTGCAGGTGACAGGGGCCCGTCACCCATAGTGGGTTGAGCGCCCCCGATCAGGGCGCGGATCTAAGAGCCCGGTGGGCCATTGGGCCCACACGGTGGAGATCATCCTAACAGTACCATCAACAACTCTCCTAAATTATTGTCTGACTAGTGCCATCCCGTTTTCTATTCATTTCTACACAGTGGACGTGGTAAACACTGGATCCAACACATTCCCATTGGGGTATTATTTTGCCCGTAGCAATCATGCACATAAGCCCTCTGGACCATCAACCAATCGCCAAGCTTTGCTAGAAGTGCTTGGCTGAAGGACGCATATCACGAAAATACATACCACCCTTTGACTTGGGGAGCATCATTTTGTCCCAATTCAACTAGGACATCTTCCTTTTTCCTTTCTTTAGGATCCACCAACATATGTCGGACTAGCTTGAAGTGAACAATATTTCCTTGTTCCCAGAAAGCATCTCTCCCCCCCTTATCTTGCTTCCCAATACATGAAACAGCAAAGTAAAAGAAACCAACCCCACGAATGTGAAATGCACACATTGCAGCTACAGCGGCAGGGAGCTAAGTGGAAGTTCTCACAGGCAAGACCTGTGCGCTTTTAATTACAGGTATGGGAACGACGGCATAAACACAGCCTTGTTGAGCCGGGGCGTACATGGTGAAGGCAGAATCTGACGGAACAGCCAAGAAGGCCAGACGAATGTATGGGGTGCGGGTGCCAGTGTGTGTCTTTCTGTCTTTGCCACGATAAAAGGCTTGACACCCATCATGTCATGTCAAACACCCGTGCTACCACCACGTGAAGCATTACCCCAATCGACTAAGCTGCTGTCTTTGAGACGAAGGATCGCACATGCAGAAATATATATCTACTCTTTACTCAAATAGAACCAATCATCCAAGCACCTTCTCGTTTGCTGCAACTCCCACGAGCTCCTCAAATAGATAAACACTAGATTCACCATATATAGTACGACCAACTTTCTTAAAACATTAAGGTAACTAGACAAAAGTTCATGGAACACAAGGCAATAAAAACTCACAAGATTCTTCCTAAATACGAATACTATCTATATAAAGCTAACCTAGCAAAAAGATATTGCACCAACAAGCAATGGATCGAGCCAAACCTAAACTACAAAGGCATCATGGAACATAGTCCCGATCTAGGAACTCCCTCAAAGGTTCTTCTAGCGCCTCTATAACAGCTTCCCACCCAGCGGTCGTCGGGTAACTCTCGTCCCAGTAGAAGTTCTTGTCAGGATTCTTGCATAGGTCGTAGAGGCGCTCCCCTGACGGGCTAACCTGTCCACAGTACCCCAGCTCGGTAGAAGCCTCGCAGCAAGGTGTCAGCTTGCGCTTGAAATTGTTTGACTGCTCCGATCCTTCACCTGCATACACATAGTTCCAACAGATGTTGAATAAAATGCATACATGTGAAACCAGGGTTTTGAATTTCGGCCGTAAAAAATGGATTTCGGCCGAATTTCGGCCATCTCGGCCTAGGGCGGAATCTATCTTCCGCCGAAATTGGTCAAATTTGAGAAATTTTGGTCAAATTTTAATCAAATTTCAGTCAAATTTCGGCCGAAATTTTTAAAAACGACCGAAATTCGGCCATCTCGGCCTAGGGCGAGAAAAATCACAAAACGAAAATCAAAACGCTGTGTGAAACCAGATTTAATTTGGATCATGTGTGTGCAGACATATAAAGTACTTACCAGGGGCGTGATTGACGATGTCGGTGAAGGCAGTGTAGAGGTCCAGTATGTGGGCATTATTCTTGTTCCCCATCAGGTGTTCTATATTGTTGTTGTGCACAGTTGCTGCATAGTTAGCCAGAAGGTCGCATGTCGTGTAGTTGTTCGCACTAGTCCGCAAAGGCGTGCAGCCAATGGGATGCATGTTGTTCACTAGTACCTTTCTCACACCTAGCCTCTGTAGCTTCCCCACGTTCTTCGCAATGTTGGTCGTCACATTCCCAATATAACTATCGATCTGCATGCAAGAGATGTTACTTGGTAAGAAGCTCGGTATATAGTAATTGCATACTGGTTAGTGTTTGCAAGTTTGAGTCTGCTAACTACTACTCACATCATCGAAGCTACTCAAGAAGGCATTGTCGACATTGGCACCAGTCATGTAGTCACTGCCGGAGATGGAGACGAGAGCGACGGAGCTCTGAAGCTGTTGTTTTGAGATGACCCCAGTATTAAGTAGCCTCGTGAAAGCATTAACCTGTGTGGCAAGGGTCGGCACCTTCTTGTCCGGCACCTCATAGACGCCAGAACCGCCGAAAGCAAAGGTCATGCCAGATGGGTCGCAAGATAGATGTGGCGTGAGCCTGTACGATGGAGGGGCTTCATTGAGGCCCAAGATCCTTGCTGCAAGGGAAATAAATCAATAAATATGAAGGATTATTTTTAGTACAACACATATAAGATTGTAAGGGTCAGAACTAAATGATCTAGAGCCTTGATATGATGGATTATTTTGGATGGTCTTAGATATAAGGTTGTACGTGCTCAAAAATATTTTTTCTATCTAGCATACCAGTATATATCTAGCTACGTACCGATGAAGTCAGATTGAATCCAATAGTTGGAAAGGCGTCCAGTTGAAACAGGAGTCGCAGATCCACGGGAGTTGAGATAGGAGCCATAGGGATAGCTCCATTGACGCCATGTGTCGGTCTTTGGGAGGTTGCCGTTGTCGACGAAGCCATCGCCGAAGACGAACATGCTGGACCATTGGTTCTTTGACCCCTGATCAGCCGAAGGTGTGCCTCGAGCCTCCACACGAGCCCCTGTAACGTAGATCAATCATGTCTTAGTGCATGCATGAAGAACATGACGTGGTCGAACTAACATGTATACTTGTAGATCGCGCTAGCAAGGAATATCTAAAAGCTAAAGCAAGGCAGTAATGAGTTTATGATGTGCATTACCACCCAATTCAAGGACGACGAGGAGAAGGCAGAAGACGGTCGGCATGAGCTTCATGGTTACGAGGCCCCGGGAGGCGGCTATGGGGAGCTAGATGGTTGTGGCCGTGCATGAGCCTATAGCTATATTTATAGAAGATTTTTCTGGTCGGTAGGTAGGTACGTATTGCACATGGAGTCAGCAATCCCACGTACGTACGCTTGTAGCTATAGCCGCGGCCAGACTAAGAATGCATGCGTCAACGTGGAGACGAAGAAACGTCTTGGGAAACCAATAGATACAAGAATCGTGTGTAGCAAACTTTGAACGACAGGTAGATAGAATGGTGCGTCCTACCTGTACCTGTTAATTTGAAAGTCCTACAAGGCCACCTGGATTCAGGAATCCTTGTACCTGTTAACTTGAAAGTCCTACCCTGCACCTGGATTCAGGAATCGGTTGGGGCGCAACCTGGAAGTCACACCGGAGGTGAGATGCAGGACCAGGGGAGCAGCCGTGTGCTCCCCGGCGCGAGACATGTGCTGCCGGCGCGCTTGTTCTAGCTACAAAATGAACAGTAATTGCGTGGTACACACACTCAGATACTTATAATTAGTACAATCTCAAATACAATATGACTGTGCTATACAAGAACATAGTGCATGCATTTTGCAATCGAGTAGGGCATTTTGGAGACCGAGCTACATGGATACTTTAAAATTCAAGGATGTAATGTGTATGTTTATAAAATTTCAGAATCAAATACCTTGAATCACGAGCTACATAAAAAGAAACAAAATCATGGACTTTCAGAATGATAGTACACATGATAAAAGGCCCCAGATTTGTCTTTTTTGCGTAGCTCTCATTTTAGTGTTTTTGACCTGAAAATCTACCACACACACACGTACATTATGTATCTATGTATACGTGTATTTTGTTTAGAATTATTTAAAACTGAAAAGTTTGAATTTCGAGGCTTTCAAATTAAGTCCTCCATGGAGCTCGGTCTTCATTTGGCATTTTTCGCTACCAAAGGCACTTTCCACCTTCCCTCATCATATACATGCATGCATGTAAAAAATACAAAAATACCTATGCCATCAAAGATTTCATCAAAATTCAAAATGCTTTATATCTCAAACCATCGGTCCGATTCAAAATTCATTTTGAGAGGTACACACACTAAAATAGTTAAATCAGTACAATCTGACCATGTTGTTCTGATCTGTATTTTGAGTATAGTTGTTAAAAAGTATGCAAAATGTTAAATAAAACCACTTGTTTATCTTGGCAAAAGTTATATTCAACATTTTTTTAAAACTTTTGTGTACACATGCATCATTTCATTAATTTTGGTATTTCCATCTTTTGCGCTGCAGTCAAATTGTTTGGGCAAGATAGTTGGCTAGTTGCTCAAGTTGTCATGCTCCAAAAAATTTAACATAGTAGCTCGTTCGAATTAAGGTTTGGTGTTTCCTATGTTGTTGTCTCGAGAATACGAGTTCATTCACATTATTTTTGTTTGCTTTACAAAACAGAAAAACCATGGATTAATGTATTGCAAAAAACAGTAAGTTTAAGTTTTATTAGTTATTTAGTTATATGCATTTTGTACAATATAGGGCCTAATATTTCATTTTGCCCTGGACGGCAAATTTCAGAAGACGGGCCTGGTCCTACCCGACCACCTAGACCGGAGAATCAAACTTACCTACAGTTGGGCTGGCGCCCGCTCTGCCGTGCGCGTTCATGAGGTCGTGTTAGATGTGAGGTACAGGGCCAGGGCAGGAGCCTTTCATCGTCCTTGCAGGTGTGACGTGTGCTGCAAGCGCTCGTGTGTTCTAGCTAGCCTTGCTGTGCTCTGCGCCCAAGTATTTGGAGCAACAACATATGGTAGAGCACCTTTCGTTCCTTAACATCCATGTAAAATATTTTGAGATAAACGAATACTTTTTGTGTGTTGCACACACTCAAATACTTATTAGTACAACCCCAAATCCGAAATACAATGTATGTGAAGTCAATACAACACAAGATACATATGGACTAGGTGCAGCGTGCAAATTCGTCGAGAGGCAATTACAAACCGCTACATGTAACTGATTCATATATTCCTCTTAGTTCCCTATGTAGCGACTTAATTAAAATCAACATATCAGAGAGTACAATACACATATAGTATTCATTGTTTTAAAGACAGAGTATGTCGATCGAACATCAGACGGCTGTGATCTTTTCGATGCTTCGCCTAGTTGAACTGCTACACACATCGTAGCTTGGCTGAGAAAAAAACAAGAATGGTTTGAATAAGACAAAGTGTTTGAGGTGCACAGTATGTACTTAAGTAGAACAATAAATTGTTACCATCCATGAGTACGAAACTATATAGTTCACTTGTTATTTGTTCCTGCAGACTTCGGTTTTCCGGCACCATGAGACTCCTTATCATGCCCCCTTTGACTGTTGCTTGCTGATGACTGCCCATTCCTATTGGTCGATGATGGGGAATGAGGTCTAGGTTGATCTGCATTCACGCAAGGTCACATGGAGATGACCAAAGTAACTTTAGCAAACTCATTTTGGACATGGAATGAAACCTAGATAAAAATTGCTGAGAAAAAAAGCAGATGGCACGTAATGTACATATGTTCACTGCAGTCTAGTGTGTTATGCGCCAATTAGTACTCCTTCCGTCTATGTATACAAGGCCATTTAGGTGGTGTTTGGTTCTCTAGTCCTATGACTTTTTCTAGTCCCCGGGACTTTTTGAAAAAGACTCTCCAGGAGGTGCTTCTAAGGACTTTTAGCAAAAAGTCCCAGAAAAGTCCCATCCTGTTTGGTTTGCTAGGGACCTTTTCTAGTTAACAGGGCGTGCGCGTGCCCCTAGGTCGTCAACTAATTAGTTAAACAGTATATAAATTACCAATCCCTCACCTTAGATTTTGCCCCATTCCGATCTCACCATGGGCAGCTCAGAGTGACTAATAGCGAGTTCTACATTGACGGTGCCGTTGTCGTCGGCTACACCCCTTTGCTCGCAGCCGATGGTGTTAGTCGTAGCTTGATCTCCATGTCCTCTCCGCAGGAGGCATGGCGGAGGGGCGAGCCCTGTCTATGTCCGGAGGTGCTCCTAGCGTGCACGCCCGCCAATGGATGCGCTCGTGGCGCACTACCATGGGCATGCGCTGCTGTGTTGGCGACGGCGGTCGGAGATGGCAAACGCTGGCGCACTTCTGGGTGCCACCGAGAAGCAGTGCAGCGTCCCACCATCTGTGCTGCCTATCAAAGTCGTGTGCCCAGTGCATGACCAGTGGCTGATTTTGTCGGTGCCGAAGAAGCACAGCCATGTTATTAAGGACTTAATTACGTGTAGGCTCACATTCACCCCTGCTCTGGTCATGGTTGATGGCAGTGGTGAGTTCTGAACTTGGGCATGTCCTTGTTATGTTAACGTAAGTGCTATGTATGTCTGGTTAGTGAACTTGGCTGTCAGCTATTTGGTAAATTATATATGTAGTTCCTTTGTTAGTTATGTAACCGCAGGCGTGCATTGAGAACTATGATAATGTCAGTGGTTGTGTTGCAAGGTTCTGTTGTAATATCAAGTGTTGTCCTGGTCGATCCTTATGTACATGCACGTGAAGTTCACCTTGTACAATACCTTTTTTGTAGGAAACTTTTGTACAGTACCTGAAGCAATAATTTGGCCATACATGTAGTTTAATTTATCATGTTTTTTAAGTTATAATATCTCAGCCATAGAGACAATATTTTGGCCATACACGTGATTTAATTTATCTGGAAACTTTTCTAGAATTACAAGATCACTTATTTAGGTCAAGTTTGTATGCCTTATACATTAAAAATTCCCTCCTTCATCCAATGCAAAGAGAGCTTTAGAAAATGCTGAACTCAGAAACCTATTAGTTGGTCCCCTAAAATACCTAGGGTATATATTTATCCCTCTACTCATTACTGCCTCTACTTGTGCGGATGACATGAAATTATTTGAGAACTTATGTGCCTCTTGCATTCTGTAGTAACCAGCGCAAATATATCCTATGGCTATAA